GGGGCCCCCCGCCCCCCCCCGCCGGGCCCGGCGCAGCTCCCCAGGGAAACCCCCTGTCCGCCGCTCAGGCCCGCAGCGGCCCCCAGGACAGGGGCGTCACGGGCCTCGCACCCAACCATCGGGGACGGGGGAGGGCGCACGCGCTCCGGAGGCCCCACCCCCGCGCGAAGGGAGGGGAGGGCGGGCCGAGCCCCCTCCTCAGCCACGGCCCCCACTCACCGCTCCGCTGGCGCCGCCCAGCCGCCCGCTCTCCCCTCGGCGCCGAAAATGGCGGCTTCCAAGCGAGCCCCGAGCGCACCGATCCGGCCGCTCGGCGCTCCCCACCCGGCTCCGGCCTAGAGGGAGGGGGTGGAGCCATCGTGCACACCCCGCCCCCTCCCAGAGACACGCCCCCCCCCTTAGAGGGAGCACGTGACCCCGCTGCAACCGCCCGCGGGGAGGCGGGGCTGAGTTCAACGGGTGGGGGGGCAGTGGTTGGGCAGGAGGTGTCACTGTGCTAGCACAGCTGGGTGCTGGCCTTGTGCAGAGGGGGAAACCCAGTGATTTCAGTCTGGGATGGCCAAGGCTGCCTGGGTGCTTTGCTGTAGGGGAAGGGCTCTGGCACGTCCCCATAGTCAGAAAAACAAGCGAGAGCAAAGAGTTGGCACCTTCCTGCAGGGTCTCCAGTCTAGAAAAGGTTGTGAACCGTTGCTTTGGAGCAAGTCTGCACTGGCTCCCAGTCGGTTTCTGAGTAGGGTTGGCGGGAGGCTGCTGGAATCAGCGTTGATCTCCGCTGGTCATTGAAAGCCGTCAGGGAGACTGAGGAATGGGTTAAACAGCACCATTAATGACATTACGTCATGTTGGGGGGGAAAAATCTGGAATAGCTTCAGTCACAGTTGGCAACCCTATTTGTGAGTGAAGTTCAAGGTGCTGGTTTTGACCTCTAAGGCCCTAAATGGTCTGGGCCCTAAATACCCCAGGGAGAACCATGAGAGCCTATTATGACCCCTAAGGTCAGCTGAGAGCAAGCTCCTGCAAAGACTATGAATGTGTGAAGCCTGATTGGCAAAAATGTGTAGGAGGTTGCTCTCAGTACTTGCCCCTCAGCTCTGGAAGTCACTCCTACCCAGAGCTGGAGCCTGCGCATCTTTGGAAAGGGCTCAAGACCCTCCTCTTTGGGCAGGCATTTAGCAAACAAAGCTCGGCTGGGGTATTGTTCTGGGAGGGGGAGGAAGAGGGGAAGGGAAAATGGGTTCTGCTTTATGGTGATCCTCTGCTTGTTTTTAAAGTAATTTTCTTTTTTTTTTCTTTTTGTATAACTAGGGACCTACTAAACTCATGGTGAGCCAAAGCCATTTTCTTGGCTTTGCCTTGGCATAAAGAGCTTGTTTCATGGGCTCTCTGGCAGAGAGGCCCTGGGGACGAGGAGAGATGAGGGGGTGGCTAATATCTCAGCTGCTGGCTGCTCTTCATCCCGCCCAATAGCTGGTGTCTTCACTGCTTGGGCTGGCTGGCTCTGAGGTCCACCCAGGAGGGGAAGACTTAATAAAAACTTTATTTATTTATTTATTTATTTATTATTGTGGATTTTGACCTGGAATTTATGAGCAACCCCAGATTTCACAGTCTCTGCAAAACCATGATTTAGGTAGGTCCCTATTCATAAGTTAATGTGTTCTCTTATTACTCTGAGGCCTTCTTGGGAAAAGCAGCATATAAATTGAATGAATGAATACCACTTAATTCCAGTGAGCACCTTGATTTGACACTAAGCCTCTCTTCCATTTGTCTGGATTAAGTTGTGAGCATCTAATAGTGAGACTTTAGTCTTTCCATACTGTTTGGTCAAAAGCTATTTTTGGTAATGTTCATAATGAACTAAATAGCTTTGAAAGTCAGACCATGACTCTCTTAGTTTTATATATGTGTGGGCAACAAATTGAAAGCAAATTCTCTTTACAACAATCAAAAAATGTAGTCTGCCCTGCAGAAAGATCTCTATTGTTATACTATAGAAAACATAAAGCAATAAGAACATAACATAATGTAATAAGTACACAAAAAGAAAAAGGGAATAAAGAACCCACACAAGCAGCAGCAACTGCAGAATTCAAAAAAGGATGCAGTAGTCCCTGGGGAAAAAAGCCAACTTCAAATGACCTGTTACAGGAAAGCAATATGATGTCAGAGGGGTGTAGGTTGTATTTTCATAGAAAATTATGGATTAGATTCAGGGGTTTGGGTTGTAGCCGTGTTGGTCTAAGGACATAGGCAGACAAGGTTCCTTGGGTGAATTTGATATCTTTTATTAGACCAACCCAAATGGTTGGAGAATAGTTATTAAGCAAGCTTTTGGGTTCAAAAACCCTTCGTCAGGCTCAGGAAGCTTCAGCAGTTGGTGTGTGCTCTTCCTGGATTAGATTCAAGAACTTTACAAACTATGCAAATTAATTATTCCACATCAAACTATGATGCAAGCATGTGCTTTTCCTTAGCAATAAAGGGAGACATAATAGATGGTCCACACCAATTGGAAGCATAAAATGTTGCTCTCTATCGCATAGTTAATTTTGAACAAAAAATAAGGACACCTTGCTGAGTGTAAATGCTTAGCCCCAGAAAGGCATGCTGGAAAAACAAGTCCTATTAAAAAGCAAGCCTGGATTATGAGTTGGTTAAAAGGAACTAAGCATTTGTTGGGGTGGCTTGGTTTTAACTAATAGGACTTTAGTTTATTATAAGCATGCATTTTCAAATTATAGCTTCTAATTCACTAATAACACTAATACAGTTTAATATTAATAATTAGCATGAAAAGAATGTGCAAGACTGACTTAGAAATCTTGAGACAAAGGGAAAAGATTGAGTTTCTCTTACAAACTTAAAAGATTAAGTTTGTCTTAAATTTATATTTGGCATAGAGCATTTGAGGTTCACTTATTTAGACTATTCTATGAGCATAAGGGCTAAAAACGTTACTTTTAAATTAAAATTGAGTTTTTCTTTTACCATGACTCTTCACAGTAGCTGGGTTGAAGGAAAACTCTCAAAGTTTACACTATCAATGGACCATTGATGCTATGTTACCTTGCCATAGGAAGCTAACATGCCATTCAGATGAAGACATGAGGGTCAGACATCTTGTTTAGGTTCACTACTTTTCCAGTTGATCTTCTTTTGTTCTTTGGGTCCTAAGGTACATGAACCTGTACTGGCTAGCCTTATACCAAAGTAAGATCAATTCAGGTCAACTACTAATATTTTGGTGTACTATGAAGGTATTGGTGATGGTTCTGTTCCACTGAAGTGGCAAAAATTTAAAAT